ACCAAGAGGTGCCTGGCAGCCCGGGAAGGGGGGCGGAGGGGCCGCCCACCGCCCTGCACACCTGGCCCCAGCCCCTCTCCCGCAGCGGAGGCGCGTGGAGACCATCCTGGAGGAGAAAGTGGACGGCAGGAACTTCCTGCGCTGACGGCCAGGCGCACTGGCGACCACACCCCACCTCCCCCATAAAGTTCTGGTTCTCCAAGGCCTGCTGGTCTTTATGCTCCCCCTCCCGGCCCCTGGGAGGAAAGGGGGTCACAGAGCGGGGCATCTCCAACAAAGCAGGAAGATGCAAGGGAGGGGTGTCAGGTCGACAGGGGCCAGGGACACCCTTAACCTCCCAAACCCAGAGCTGTCCACCTGCAGGAGAGGAGAGGGGAGAGCCTGGCTCAGCAGCAGTCACAGCTCCATGGGAGAGTACGGGCAGCCCATGTCCCCAGGCTGCAGGCCACCCCACAGGGGTTCAGAGAGGAGTGATGTTCTGGGCACATGCCTTGGAGAGCAGCGGGCTGGGCAGTCCTCAGGAGAACTCAGAGGTGGGGAGGAGGGGGAGGCCAGCCCCTGTGCCCTCTGGCTCTCCTTTCCATCCTGAATGCCGCCTCTGCCCTGCTCCATCTCCCTGACCAGCCGCCCCACCCACCTCCACACACACGCACACACGCACGCACGCACACGCACGGAAGGAAACTGCCCTGTCCCATTTGGACAAACCCACCTCCTGCAGATCTTCTAGATTCTGAAGAGCCTCCGAGTTTCTGGACAGCCCTTGGAGAATACGCTTGCTGTTTGCAGAGCCCAGGACTCCCCTCAGCCACCCTCCACCCCCCACTTCCCTACCCAACCCCAGACTGCAGTGGGGGCTTCAGGGACTCCACAAGCTCCACCCCTAGGGGCCCTCCCCCTCCCAATAGGCTGCAGAGCAAAGATCCTGGAGGGGCGCATTCTTTACTCCCCCTAGGTCAGAGCTGGGGTCTGGCAAGGACTCTTGTTCAGTGGTAGTCACTCTCCCTCCCTCACCCAGCTCAGGATGGGCACCGCTGCAGGGGACCGGGCCCTCTGTGCCCTCAGCTAGCCCTTCCCCCTGCAATGACCCTTTGCCCTCTCTGGGCTATTGCTGCCTTTGGCCTGGATCACACCCAGGACCGTGTGTGGAGCTGGAGTCTGGCAGCTCCGGGAGGGAGGTGTTCAAGAAGGAAGAGGGAAGGAGGAAGGAGAGATGGACAGGGAGGCAGTTTCTGTCCAGGAGTGGTGGCCATTCACACTCTGACATGCACTGGACGACAGCCAGGCCCGGCTCCCTGCAATTGGGACCCCAGCATTCTGTCTCCTGAGAATGTGCTGAGGGCCTAGGATGATTCCATGTGTTTGTAAAAGCACATTTCATTTCATCACTTCTCCGAGCCTCCATTTCTTCATCTCTAAAACGGAGGCCCTCAGGAGCCTCACTGGGCGCCATGCCCTCCACACAGCAGTTACTCCACCAGGGAGGGCACTGCCTTAGGCAGGCACCAAGGGCAGAAGGACAACACAGACATGCCAAGCCCTAAGAAGGCCAGCTACAGAGTAGCCTCATAGACGGCTATACACCAGATGTCAAGCTGGCACACAGGGCACCCTTTGACCCCCATGCCAAGGAGGGGACCCTAGGTCTGCAGAGGAGGCCAAGGAAAGCAGTGAGGAAAGGTAGCTGGGCCTGGAGGTGGTGGCTGCTATGAGCAAGCGAAGCATGTGAACTATGATTCAATGTATGTGGGGGCTGTGAGGAATTAGGTGGTTCCCAGGGCTGCAAACTTAAGCTCTGAACAGAGGGTCCTGGGTTCAAATTCCACCTCCACCATTAACTTCTTTAAAAAATATATTTTTATTGATTTCAGAGAGGAAGGGAGAGGGAGAAAGAGATAGAAACATCAATAATAAGAGAGAACCATTGATGGGCTGCCTCCTGCACCCTCTATACTGGGGATCGAGCCACAACCCGTGCATGTGCCCTTGAAGGGAATTAAACCCGCTGGCAGACGCTCTATCCACTGCGCCAACCCGGCAAGGGCATCTCCTCCACCATTTTCTTGAGTGAGTTTCTGCCCAGCCTGCCTGGGCTCCTCCGTGGAACATGGGGACACTCACAGAGACAGACTCCTCAGAGGAGGTGCAGGACACCCAGAAAGGCCGAGGCAAGGGGATGGAGAGCAGGCCCAAGTGGCCAGAGGACACGGGGGAGTGGCTCAAAGGGGCAAAGAGGTTTGTGGGCCCGCACCCACAGCCAGCTGCTACGCACATTTCTCAGGTGGGGTGGAGCTGCCACACCAAGGGATCAGCCTGGCAGAGTGACCTTGACCAGTACTGGCCCGTCTTTGTGGGACCTCCGGTCTGGACAGGCCCTCGGTCTCTGCCCCTGTCCTAGCCAGCCTGTCAACATGGCAGCCAAGCTCCCTGGGCCCACAGCATCACGAGGCTCCCCAGGCTCCAGGGTCCTGTCACCCCTCTGCCCCCTCCCCTGCCTCTTCATCTCTCACCCCGTAGCAGTCTGCTCCAGGGCTGGTCTGTCTGACACCCTGTGAGGCCCCAGTGCCGGCATGAAGAAGAGTGTGTGTAAAGTCTCCATTTCCCTTCACACCTCAGAGTTCTGGAAGCCTGTCCACAGGGCGACCTGTACAACGGGAAGTCGTTTTGTGAGCAGAACCCAGCATCAGGAGCTGTGCAGGCTGTCGCCTGCAGGGGACCCGCTGAGACCAGGGGTCACACCCACTGCAGGCCGGGAGCATGGGCAGGGCCACCGCGATGCTCCAAAAGCTGGGACAGGAACTGAACTAACAACTGTACCGGCTCTTTACACTGTAGGACACCTTGGGGCAGCATGAGGGGTTAGAAGGAACTCACCCCAAGGCCCCACGGATAGGGCAGGGGCTTTTGATGACTCCAGATGCAA